ATTAACTTCCCGAAATTCGAGGACCAGTATGTACAAGAGGCTTCTAGCTAGCGGAATTTCGAGTGACCTTATTGCAGCACGAAACACTGCAAAAACGCATGATCGCATGGGGCCACCCAGTGCGCGTCGTCAGTGATTTCATAAGTTGCTTACAAAAAAGCTGATGGCTGTTCTGAGCTCCTTGCATAGACCAACAGCAATTTAGCGCCGCAACGAATGAACAAATCGTCGAAGTACTAGCCGCCCCAGCAACGAAGTCGAACTCTCAACATTCAGCACGACAGGGCGGCGGCCGGGGAGGGCGCCAAGTGCGCCATGACTGCCAAAACGTCTTCGCATGTGGACGCGTAATTAAATCTAGCATTAATACTTCACAGCCAGCATTTATATGAACCCAGGAAAGGTTAAAACAAATTTCTTAAGAAAAATACCCTCATATCGGAAAAGTAAGGAGCCAAAGACCGTTGCTCAACTTTTACGATATCAAGCAACAGCAAAAGCACCGCCGTTGATTCCTGCTCCACGTCTTTCAAATGTTGTAAGATGGACTTGAAAATCTGGAAAGAAAATAATAGTTTCAGATATCATAATACTCATAGCTCCTCGCTCGCTACTCTCACAATTTAGAGGAAACGAATTTGTGTTTTCCTTACAATTAAGATTTCCATCATTCTAACGATTAAACTTATTCAAATTTTCTTAGAGTGCATTTCTCACGGTAGAAAAAATTTCTCCAAAAGCGGGCTACCTTCGAAAAGACTGCTCAATCAGAGCTTTTGTCCGGGAGTTTTTTTTTCAATTATTCGAGTTAACGAGTCGTCAAACACTGCTCAATAACAATTTTTCCGCAACGAGTAGAGCAGCTTTCCCCGGAATGCGCCTATGCAGCAAAAAACCTGCCAAGGGTACGATAAAGAGTGAAAACAGAGGTAATATACCACTGCTTTGTCAATTTCGAAGCAACTGTGAAAGAAAAATACTTGTGCCTGCTGTGAAGGAACTTTTAGAAAAGTTGTTTTATAGCCAAATGCGCCGAATTGCGTGAAAACAGGCTTCGCCAATCGCAGCAAACAGCTCCAGAAATTCAAAATTGGCGATAAAAAACGCACGGCGAACTAAAAAACGCAGCAAATGTTAAAGCAGTTTTTGCAAATGATGGAAGCTTCAATTGAAGTAAGTGGTGCAAAAAAGTTTAATTAACAGGAGAAAATTATTAAATTTAGACAAATAAAAAAAGCGGCGCAATTTTTATTAAGAACTGTACTGATGCACTTTTTAAAAAGGACTACGCACGAAAGTCACTTAGTTAATGTCAAAAATAGCAAGAACATCTGAAAATGTTGGTGATGTTACTGAAATGTTCATAACAGCCAGACTTCTCGATCCTGAGCTGCATACTTCTACTTGGGACCCTCCGTCAGTTCAGTGTACGCCACTTTTTTGACAAACGCTTGGGTTAGGCGGTATCAGGCATCGCGGAACGCAAAGCTGAACAGCTTCAAGCAAGTCCAGGAGGTTTTGATGGTACGAATCACTGTAAGCTTAATCAGCGGTTGACAGGCAATAGAAGTCAAGTAGCTGTGCTTGAAAAACACCGTTGGCAAGCAAAATGAAGAGAAATAACAAAGCGAAGCGCACGAGTAGCCAGTGCTAAGAACATTCATGGCTTTACAGTCTGACAACCATTTATGAGAAAACATGAACTGCGAAAATCGTATGATCAAGCATACCTCAGTATATGAAAGAGCCGTTTCGACCAGATTTTCCAGCTGCAAATGTCGATTACAGGAGATTCGTTCTTTCAGGAAGCACTGCACCAAACGATCACAATTTTCCAAATCCATCAGTGCGAAACAAAACAGAACATCGAACAACACCAGATCCTGCGCGAAAAGCAATGCAGTCAACCTCCAGACAATCAAATTTACAGAAAAAGCAAATTTTATGCTCTGATTAGCACAACATATAATAAAACTCGCAAAAATAGTTTGAGTTTGCTCAATAAAAGTGCGAAACACCACGCCCTGTTTAATACTAATTACCAAAATTCTGTCAATTAATGACAACCGTCGTTATAGTATTTTGCATTTAGCAGAAAGAATGCAAATCAGCAATAATTGCAGCACGCTTCCAGTGGAATACTGCGGATCCATTTCCATATAGACGATATCAAGGGCAATGCATGCAAGAAAGAAAAGATGAACTAGTAATGTGACAAGAATGGCAAATGATTGGTCAAAAGTGAACCCCAAGGTATCCTCTAAGCCAAGACAACAAGACCAACAGTGGAATTATGTGGGTGAGAGAGAACCAGAATAAAAAAAAAAAAAAAAAAAAAAAA